TGGTATACGGTATGTGATGCTGAATGATCCATCATGTGTGAGCTATCTTCACTGTGATGGACCGATGATGATGAAGGTGTGTGATGCCTAGACAGCGGATAAGAATGGTATACGGTATGTGATGGTGAAGTGTGCAATTGTTGGACAGCAGGAGATGGAGGCGTTTGAGGRGACATYGAAGGAGAATGTTCAAGWWAATGTGATGGCGACTGATTAACTTGTGATGATGACACTGATTCATGATGCGATGGTGACATCATCTGGCTAACGTGAAAAGACATATGGGACGACACTGCCGAATGAATCGAAGATTGCTGTATGCTGTTGATTGGCATGCTCCAGGACGATTCTATTGACTCTARTGWMGACTGGCCCATCGTCCACTGAGAAGATGCAAGCRAATGATATTCATATGTTGAAGTAGACAAGGATGGATGAGGAAGATGGTCGCTGTCCGAGAGGCTACTTGGATACCAGTGCATGTTAGACGCATGGGACATGGTCATTGAGTGTGACCAATTCACAGCCAAWGAGCTATAATGAGTCGTCATCTCCAYAGCGCTGCCCATCGAGTTCGATTGACTTACAATGAGTGTATCGGAGGTATAACTAACAGTAKAAATACTCATGTGGCCAACCATTTGAGAAGCGGTTGATGGCATCTTGGTCGTRGTCATATCATGGTTGCTCGAAAACATGGACGAGGTAAACGGAGTGATARTGTCTCCGTTAAGTGTATATACTTGCATCAACAGCAACACCAAGGCGATCGACTTGACGAAGGGTAATGAGGCACTCATAATATTCTGTCAAATTATTAGATACATAAATTTTCCGAAGGTAGTCAAAGAAGTGGTTATGGTATCAACATCAGATATAATGCAACTCGATAAAAAAAAAAAAAAAAAATGGTCCATATTATTTCTATCGAAGTTAGAAGAAAGATTTATCACCTTGCTGAATTTATAGTTGTGATTTTTTCATTTTGTCATTTTCGAGGGACGATATATTAATTTTGTCACGATCTTATTTTTTTGAGTGGCATTAAAGCATTTTGAAAGAGCATATGTAGTGATTTTGAATGTTCAATAAAGAATAGAAGAAATACTTACAAATCTGACTCCTCCCAACGGTATGCAAACCAAACAACAGATTTAATTTCAATGATCGTGAAAATTCTGTCGAAATTTCAAAAGAGCAATGCTAACAGCATAAATGTACTTTTTGTTCAAAGACAAAATGCCGACTATTCGGCCGGTATACCGTTGCCATGACAATGAATGACGTCCGACGTCACGTGTTTAGTGGTTGAAGGAAGCTTTCTAGGAATATTTGTAATACATACTTCTGGTATAGGAATATATATAATATATATCTTTTACATATATATTTATAGCAACTTCGAATAAAACTAAAATCATTAAATATGAAATAAATAATAATAAATTAGATTAAAATTAGTGTTAAAATTAGTATGTTACATATATTTTTTATTTAATTATTTATTTTTTGTATATCAATTTTTAACTTCAATAAAATTAGTAATATTGATGATTTCGTGTTTCTTCCAGAAGGACGAAGATCCCAAGATTAACAAAGTTGAAAAGATCGTTCCCGAAAGATCGAATCAGGACTTTWAAAAAAGTTTTCTTCTCAAAGGAGAGAAACAAATAGACAGTTTGATTATTTTTTACCTCAGGTTATTGACCATTCATTAACTATTAGACAGGGCATGGCTATCTCACAAATCAAATTTGAATTTAGCGTGTCTTAATGCTGAATAATAACAAATAAAGACGATCGGATTAAAGCCTTTGACCCCAAACCACTAATGTATACAGCCGGATGCTTTTAAAATTAATTGGCGCCCAAAAACAATGGGCCAAGCAAGTTATCTTCCTAATACGAATTGGCTTAATGGAACGAATAAGGTCGCATCAGAACTTCATTCTTGTCCAACATATCTTTACCACAAAAAAACATCCCAAAATAGCCTCCATGAGTAAACAGGAAGAGTAGAAGCTCAATTGAACTGCGCATGCGCCAGATATTTACATGCTATCAAATATTTTACTCACTGTCTSAACATTTACTGTAACGATACATTCTTTATTTGTAAATTTTTRGCACTCTCCAAAGCTTGTAAATCTAGTTCTTTTCAAGACATTYGCCTGACTTACTAATCTTGATATACTTCATCTCAAATAAACAATCATTTCTTTTGCTAATTAGATAAAAAAATCAAAATTTGTCTCCTCTTTCTTGTTTCTCAAGTGGCTAATACAGTTTCAGCGCACATCTCTTTCTCTTCCAAGTCCAAAAAATAATAATCACGACAACGGATTTATTTATAGTTTACTGGGTTGGCACTAATACGATTCTGATGTCAGGTAGCTATTTTAAGTAGTAGGACTTGGCAAAGACACGAGTACGTGAAGTACCAACTTCTAGCGCGGGAAAAATATCTAAAAAGTTATTTTTAGACATTTGTATCAAAGATATTTTTGATATTAAGGAACTATTTCATCTACTGAATGCCTTTCCTGCTAATTTTTTTTCACATACACGATATCTTAATTTTAAATATCACAGTCGTAGGCGCAAAAAATCACCTAAAAATAGAGCTCCTGTAAATTCCTTGAATTTCCAGACATCTCAATCTAAATATAACGTACAATGGCAAGGATTTTCTCCGGAAAAGCTGGTTCGACAAACAAACAAATTTTGCAGTTAAATAATACAAAAAGCTTAAAAAGCCATGTACTTAAGGCTTTTAATACTATTGATATTATCATTAGATTATTTGGTGTTATTTTTTGGACAAGGAAAAAGGTCAGCTTGTAAATCAGTTAAGAACACTGTTTGCTTCATATATTGTTAATATGAATATCGGGGGAAATTCATCGAGGATTCGATGTCGATGCCAGGGTTGTAGTTCGGTTCCAGGTAGCGATGCTTGAACGAATCTTACTGCAACTTGGAACAACTAAACTTATTCCCCAGACCCATTGCATCTGTTTAGATATAGCAAACGTATAAAAGGAAAATTTCTCACCAAAGGGGCATAAAACGTTGGCAGCCTCCAACACAGAACATCTCTTGACTATACACTGCATTTCGAGACCTTGGTGGTCTTTCGTCTAACAACTACTGAGTGCTAAGGTAAGCACGTGTTGAGTGAACATGAATATATACATATAGTAGTGATCTTGACTTGTTTAAGCAGGGGCGGCGGAACCAGGGGGACCCCACAAAATATTGGTTCGCGTGAAATACAAATGCATAGATTCGAGAGTTTTACGGTGCATGCGTCTGCAATCAAACAAAACGGCGGTCATTATCACAGAGCATTAAATATAATATTTCAGTGCCCCCCCCAAAGATTTTCAGCTTCCGCCGCCTCTGGTAAGGCTTCATGACCAAGATCGTCATGCACTAATATAGCATGTGGTTCGTTGACGTGGCTGTTACGTCATTAATTGTAAAAAACCGTGTTGAAGAGATTGAAACTGGGTTTCGGCAAATGAATTTCTGCATGAAAGATCAAGATTACTTACATATGTTCGGTCATAACTATCATTATTTATATAGAAATAATTTATTTGTCACTAGCTGAAAGGAATTCAGAAAAAATCATATCTCCTGATAGATCGAACCCATGACCTTCCGGATACCTGTCGGATGTTCTAACAACTGAATTACGGGAAAGACTGAAATGAGGGATCATATCCGGAACACTGAGTTCCTTCTAGCATCAATATCATTATCGTCCTCGTTGCCATCATCTCCTACAAGCATTATTATCAACAACACAACAGCATCATCATCTTCACCAACACATGAGAATCATCTTCACCAACACATGAGAATCATCTTCACCAACACTGACGTCAGTATCTTCTTCGCCAACACATCAGCGTCAAAAACACACACACAAACATCCTCATTTTTTTATCTCTATCATAATCGGCCACAACAACACGGTTTATAATCATTATTATTTACCACCATTATACATTATCATCAGCACGTACCACCATCACTGATCGCCTCC